AATTTTTTCATTTCGTTTGTTTTTATAGGTTTTGTTTTTACTGAGACTTTATGTTTTTCTTCTTTATTTTGATGAGTAGGTTTGTTAACTTTCTTTATGGTTACTGTGAAATTTACCCTTATCTTCCTAGATTTGAACCTGTCTATTATTATCTGGATCGCTTGACTTCCTCTCCATTAGAAGATTCTATATCTACACTGTTTATTTTGTCTTTTATTGTTCTGATGCTATTGTCATTTGCAGATTAACCTCTCTGGTTCCCTTTTGTAATTCTTTTGGCTTTGCATAGTCCTTAAGAGTTCATTTCCTAGGTTGGTACCTGGCTAGTACAATCCTGTGTCCTATATTTAGCCTGTGGTCTGATATTGTTTGTTATCAGATCGAAGGACTTCTTTTAATAAGTCTCGTAAGTTTGGTTTGGTTTTTACATAGTCCCTGAATTTTTGTTTGTCTGGAAATGACCTAATTTCACCATCATATTTGAACGAGAGTTTTGCCGGATATATTATTCTTGGCTGGCAATTTTTTTCTTTCAAGGTTTTATAATGGCATCCCATTGCCTTCTTGCCAGCATGGTTTCTGCTGAATAATCTGAGCTTAGTCTTATTGTTTCTCCTCTGTATGTGACTTCTTGTTTTTTTTGAGCTGCTCTCAGGGTTCTTTCTTTGTCTTTGGTTTTAGTGAGAGTGATTATGATATGCCTTGGTGATTTTCTTTTGGGGTCTATCCTATATGGGGTTCGTTGAGTTTCTTGGATGGTCAGCTTTTCATCTTTCATGATATTGGGGAAGTTTTCTGTCAGCAATTCTTCAATGATCCTCTCTGTGTCTTCTGTTTTTTCCCCCTGTTCTGGAACTCTGATCACTCACAGATTTTTGCTTTTGACTGTATCCCACATAATTCTCAGGGTCTCTTCATTTCTCTTTGTTCTTTTTTCTGAGTTTTCCTCAAACTGAGTTGTATCTAAGTGTTTGTCTTCACTTCTGCTGATACTGTCTTCCACCGTTTCAAATCTGCTCCTCAGTCCTTCTATGACACTGTCCATTTCAGAAATCTTGTTGTTTATCTTTTGGATTTCTAATTGTTGTTTTTGTATAATTTCTGGTTGTGAATTTATTTTGGCATTTTGTTCCTGCATTATTTTCCTGAATTCTTCCATTTTTTGGTCTGTAGTTTCCATGAATTTGTCTGCCTTTTCCATGAATTTGTCTATGTTTTCCTCATTTTTGTCTGCTTTTTGCTTCAACTCTTGGATGATTCTGGGTGTTAGAGATTTGAATTCCCTATGTGATAGTTCTAGTGCCTTTTCTTCCACTGGAAAGTCATCTGGTATTTTATTTTGGATGCCTACTGGAACCATCCTGTCCTGTTTTTTTTAAATGTTTTGATATTGTCTTCTGTCTTCGGGGCATTTAGTAGTCATTTTTCTCATTTATAGATTGTAGATTTGTTTGTTTTGTTCTTTTTTTTTTTTAATTTTGCTATGTTTGAGCAGGTGGGCTGTGTGTTCTTTGTTGTTTGCTCATCTGTGGGCCCGATACTTTTTGCCTCCTTCTGCAACTGGCAAGGTCAGTCTCTCAGATATGGTACCTCAGGGCAGGTCTAGCTGAAGAGGAGTTGCTGGGATGGGTTGTTTGTGGCACTTACTACAGCCACCAAGGCGGGTTGGTAATCAGTGCAGAGCAGGTTCCCGTAGGCCGTGCCTGTGCTGCTTTGTGGTGTGACGTTAAGTGCACGGTGCAGGTAGGCAGGATGGAGGGGGGAGATTGTGATGTGTGGAGCTAAGATCGGTATGGGAGAGAGGAGAGAGGAACAGGAGCCAAAAACATACAAACAAAAAAGAGTGCTAGGGGAGCTTGCCGTTGGAGTAGAGAGATGTGAGACTATGAAAAGGAGAAAAACAAAAAGGAGAAGAAGAAGATAAAAAAAGAAAAGAATGAATAAATAAAAATTATAAAGAAAAAAGAACAGCAAAGTTCCCAGGGATCCCACCAGTGCAGCTACGAGGTCTGGAGAAGTTGTTCCCAGGTGTTGAAGTACAGCCTGGCTAGGAGGTGTAGAGGTATTCAGCGCCAGGTATTCAGGGGACAGGAAGAGAAGGAAGGTATAGAGAGATGAGAAACTGAGTAATGAAGAGAGACAAAAAGGGAAAAAGAGGGAAAAGAAAACAAAACAAATTTAAAAAAGAACAAGAAAATCCCCCCAAAAAACAGAAAAAAAACCCACGAAGAAAGAAATGCCTTCAGCGATCCCTCTGTGTGTCTGTGCAAGCTGAGGGGGTAGGTCCCAAGCCGCTCAGCACTCACTGGCCAGAACGGGCTCCCAACTTGAGAAAAGAAAAAGAAAAGAAACAAACAATTGAAAAGAAACAAACAAACAAAAAGCCCTGGGATCCCACCAGCATGCCGGCATGGACCGGGAAGCAGTTCCACACTTGAGCAGAGCTCCACAGCCCCTCAGGAAGAAGCAAAGATGGTGCAAAGAACCAGGTATTTGAGCAAAAGGAGGGGGAGGTGGTGAGAGGTAAGGAAGAAATCAAAAGAAGCAGAAAAAAGCAATACCAGCAGCCCACAAATGGCACTCAGTAAGTCTGCCAGTGCAGGTGGGTGGAATCCAAGCAGCTGGTGTTTCGCGGCCAAGAGACTGTGGCCACAGGAAGTAGAGGAGGCTGAGTAGGGGTGAAGAAGGGTAGGGGGTAGGAAAGCGTATATTGCTGTTCACCAGTTGTTCTGTCTCCTGCTGGAAGCTCTGTGAAGCTGCTTTCTCTTACCTCCTATTTGCTGGTCTCTGATAGGTGTCCAAGATGGCAGATCCATGCTGCATTAGCTGATGGGCCTCTCCAGGTATGTCTTCTCACTCTCTGTTCTCTGTAAGTTTCTTATTCCATTTGGTGCTTGGCTGAGTTCTTTATCTCTTCATTTGATGTTTAGGATTTCAGGATTGCTGTTTTCTCTGTTTGACTTAGTTTTTCGGATCTTTGCTGTGGAGGGACAGCATGTTGCTTCTTCCTGGAGCGCCATGTTGCTGGAAGTCCCTGATCTCAATTCTTATATGTGTTCATACAGCCCAAGATTGTAGAACATAAAACAGTTAAGTTGTTTCTGCGCACTAAAAATATATTATTTAAATTCAAGTTTTCCTAGTATTCTATATTAAAATTTGCAGCTTCCCATTTGTGGAATTCAAGTAATTAATTATATCATCAGTTTTCCTCTCTCTAATCATTTCCATTAGCAATACAAACAGGCTATGATTATTACCACATTAAAAACAACAACAACAACAAAAAGACTTTTGAAGTTCCCATTCCTTTTGTAACCTGATCCTATGAATGCCAGTAAATTTCCATTAGTCCTTAAGCCAAATTTGGCCCACCCCGCATGTGCAGAAGGGCCAGCTGTGACCACTAACTGACCTCAGTAGAGGACGCAGCAATAGGTGGAACGAATCATAAGGAAAATCATCACCCGGACCCCATTCCGAAGCGAGAAGTCCTACATGAACACATCACTTCCTGTTTTCTGGCCACCATAATTCCTGCAAAGTTTTCTTTCTAGAATTTTCCCTCCCTAGTATGCCTGAAGGGCCACCATCTCTCTACCCAAATCACATATAAGCCCTACTTCCCCATAGTTCAAGGGAGTCAGGTCTGAGGAACTTCCTCCTGGCTCCTTGCTCTGAGCATTACAATAAAGTTACTTTCTCTCTCAAAGGCCAATGTCCAGATTATTGTCAGGTCTGAGTACGCCAGACAGAACTCATCTTCTAGGGTTCAGCAACACTTTATTACTACCACCCCTTTACTCATTTTCTTTTACAGCAAAACCCCTCTAAAGAATCTTCTATATTTGCTGTTTGCACGTTAGCAATGTCCTTCACCCTCAACTCTTTTGAATCTACTCCAATATGGTTTTCATATCCAACCCTCCACAGGCACTTCTCTTGTCAAATTTACAAATTAATGACCTTAACGTTGCAAAAATCTAATGACTGAGTCACAACCCCCGTCTTACCTGAGATACCAGGAGATTTTGAAGTAGTAATCATTCTCTCCATCTTGAAAAACTTTCTTTTCATGACTTCTAGAACACCATCCTTTCCTGGGTTTCCTTCTATATCAGTAACTGCTCCTTTAAAGATTTCTTTGCTTGTTACTTTTCTTTTCCTATTTGTCTGCCCCCATGTTGGAACTTTTGAGTCTCCCAAGGCTAAATCCCTTGATCTCTTGGTCTCCTTTATATAGAGTCCTATCCCAGGTAATCCCATCTCATGGCTTTTAATATCACTCATATGGTGAAGACTTCCAGATATTATCTGCAGGTTTGTATATCCAACTCCCAATACTATACCCCCATTGGATGATCAATTCATGATCTCCTCCACTGATCCACCCTCAGTCCTCTCCATTTAGTAATACCAACTCCATCAGCCTAGTTGCTTGAGTCAAAAATCTTGGTGACATGCTTGACTCCTCGTCTTGTCTCATAGTCAAACCAATCTGTCAGAAAATCTTGCCTGTTCTTTTTTCAAAGTACACACAGAATACTAACACTTCTTACCCCTATTGTGTCTAAACTAGATGTAATTTCTAACTCTCTCTGCTTCTGCCCCACGCTCTCTGCCCTATAGTCTATTTCCAACATAGAAGAGAGAGTAATCCTTTTAGAATGTAAATCAGATGACATGACTCATAACTTGAAAATAGCTTTCCCTTTCACTCAGAGTAAAAGTTAAATCCATATAGGATTTGATCCCCTCTGACTTTTCCTATTAACACTTTCATTCAGTCACTCTGCTCCATTCTCTGTGGTCTCTTTGCTTTTCAGCAAACAAGCCAAGTTTGTTCCTAACGTAGGCCTTTCCACTTGCTATTTGCTCTGCCTAGAAAGCTATTTCTCTTCAGAAAAGCGTGATTTGTTCCTTTACCTTCTTCAGATGAGTCTCCAAATCTGCTTATCAGTGAGGCCTTCCTAGAACGCCATATTTAAAATAGCACTCACCCACTTCCCCATACTCCCTATCCACATCCTCTCAATAATTTTTCTCCATAGCACTTATAGAACCTTCCATACCATTTATTTTACTTATTTATCTAACCTCTGTTTGCCTGCCTAGAAGGTAAGTTTGATGAAGGCAGAACTTTTAATTTTGTTTCCTTTTCTACGCCAAGAAATAAGAACACATAGTAGGTGCTCGATAAATATTTGCTGAACGAAGGAATTAACATAAGATTACTGGAAAGATATAAGGAAATGCTAACTGTGGTTATCTCTGGGAAGGGAAAATAGTGGGAAAGAAGGAAACTTACTTTCACTTTTTATGCTTTAATATTGTTTGAATACCTGTTACCATAGAGTCGATTCTCATAGCAGCCCTATAGGACAGAGTAGAACTGCCCCATAGGGTTTCTAAAGCTAATCTTTACAGAAGGAGTCTTGATGGTGCAGTGGTTAAAGCACTCAGCTGCTAACAAAAGGTCAGCGGAACTCACCAGCAGAAAGATGTGGCAGTCGGCTTCTGTAAAGATTACAGGCTTGGAAACCCTATGGGGCAGTTCTACCCTGTCCTATGGGGTTGGTATGAGTTGGAATCGACTCAAAGGCAATGGGAGTAAACATACACTAGAATAAGTATTATTTTTATAACCAAGACATAATTTAATCAAACAAACTAAAACTAGTAGCTTAACCTACAAAATAATAAAGTCCAGCGTTTAAGGGAGGAAAACTAAAGGAATTAAACAAATGCTCCCCACCACTTTCCATGGTATTTGTGCTTTTACTTCGTGAACCTCCATATAGAAGAGTGCTCTGAATCCCTATTATCTTGTTGGAGATAGAATTGTTGTTCTTTAAATGAATAAAGGAACACTCAACGATTTAATTTATGCAATAAGTACACACTGATTTCTTATTTTGTGCTAGGTTCTAAGCTAGGTACATTAGGTACAAAAATGTATGAATTGGACATTTCTCCTACTTTCAAGGAGCTTACAGTCTGATGTGGAAGATATAAGAGGAAAAAGACTTGACCACATAGGGTAAGGGGTGTTATTGATGAGTAAACAGAGGAGGAACACCTACCCCAGATTTGAGAAGTCCGAGAAAGTTTTTTGGACAAAATAGTGTCTAAGTTGAGATCTGAAACATAAACAGGATCAGCATGGTAAATATATAAGTTTTTAATTATTATTTTGTTTTTGTCGTTGATGGGGGAGGGTGTTTAAAGGCAGTTGACAGGAGAGGGAAAGAGGAGAGGTGGGAGAATGATAGTGAAGCATTAGAATGTGCAAAGTCTTAGAAGAGAGAGAAAACCTGGTTTATTATGAAACATTGTCAGTTCTTTTGTGGCAGACAAGAGTAAGAGAGGGCAGTTACCAGAAACAAGGCTTGAGTCAGTATGTGATAAAGCAATCGGTTTTTGAATTAGTCTCAGGGTAAATGGGAGCTACTGAGGAGTTTTAATTTGGGTTGTGATCAGGTAAGCTTTAAATTGGAGAATTGATTAGAGCTGTTTGTAGTAAATACTTCAGACCATAGGGCATTCTTGAAGGATTGTAAGTGATGAGATAAACTGTAGTGCGGAGAATGAACAGAAATGAGGAGTCTTTGAGACTAATTAGTCCCTGAGTGGAGGCTATAATGTCCCTGGGTGTGCATACAGTGTGCACTCAGTTACTAATGCAAAGGTTGGCAGTTCAAACCCACCCAGAGGTACCGCAGAAGAAAGACAAAGATTACTACGGAGTAGTTCTACTCTGTAATACATGGCGTCACCATGAGTTGGAATCTACTCAACAGCAATGGGTTTTTTTTGTTTTTATTGTTGATGACCACCACCTGTCTGTCAGTTTGTCATACTGTGGTGGCTTGTATGTTGCTATGATACTGGAAGCTATGCCACCAATATTTCAAACACCAGCAGTGTCACCCATGGTGGACAGGTTTTAACAGAGCTAAGACAGACTAGAAGAAAGGCCTGGCAATCTACTTCCAAAAATTAGTCTGTGAAAACCCTATGGATCACAACAGAATATTGTCTGATGTAGTACTGGAAAGTGATTCGCCTTGGTTAGAAGGCACTCAAAATACACAGTGGCTTTAACAATGGATTGGAGTAGACAAAGATCATGAAGATGGCGCAGGACCAGGCAACGTTTTGTTTTGTTGTACATGGGGTCGCCATGAGTTGGAGTCTACTCAATGGCAACTAATAACTGTTAAGAAATGTAGACCAGCTAGCACTAACAGGGCAACAAATGAAGGATATTATGGCTCAAATAAATGCTTCTGCATTTTTTTAAAATTTATTTTGCATTTTTTAAAATAGACTTTATTTTTCAAAGCAGTTTTAGTTTTACAGAAAAATTCTGCAGAAAGTACAGAGAGTTCCCATATGCTCCTCCCCCTGCACATCATTTTTCCTATTCACATCTTGCATTCCTGTGGTATATTTGTTACAACTGATGAACCAATATTGACACAGTATTATTAACTAAAGCCCATAGTTTACATTAGAGTTCACTCTGTGTTGTACAGTTCAATGAATTTTGATAAATGCTTAATGTCATGTGTTTAGCATGACCGTATCATACAAAATAGTTTTACTGCCCTAAAAACGCCCTGTGCTCTGTCTATAATGAGTCCTGGTGCTGCAATGGTTAAGCATTTGGCTGCTAAACGAAAGATCCGTGGTTTGAACCTAGCAGCAGCTCTGCAGGAGGAAAGACTTGGCGATCTGCTGCAGTAAAGATTATAGCCTAGGAAACCCTATGGGGCAGTTCTACTTTGTCCTGTAGGGTTGCTATGAGTCAGAATTGACTTGACAGCACACAGTAACAACTACCACTCTACCTATTCATCTCTCTGTCTCCTTGGCCACCTGGCAACCACCCAGCTTTTCACTGCCTCTATAGTTTTGCGTTTTCCAGAATGTCATATAGTTGGAATTAGACAGTATGTAGCTTTTTTGGACTGGCTTGTTTCACTCAGTAGTATGCATGTAAGGTTCCTCCATGTCTACCTGGCTTGATAGCTCATATCTTTTTATCACTGAATAATATTCCACTGTGTGGGTGTACTACAGTTTGCTTATCCATTCACCTATCAAAGGACCTCTTGGTTGCTTCCAATTTTGTCAATTATGAATAAACCTGCTATGAACATTCATGTGTACATTTTTATGTAGACATACGCTTTCGTGTCATTTGAGTAAATACCTAGTAGTGCGATCACTGGATCGTATGGTAAGTCTATGTTTAGACTTACTGTCAGACTGTTTTCCAAAGTGGCTGTACCATTTTGCATTTCCACCAGCAGCGAATGAGAATTCCTGTTGCTCTACATCCTTATCAACACTTGGTGTTGTCAGTGTTTTGAATTTTAGCCATTCTGATAGATAATAGTGGGAGCTCATTGATGTTTTGATTTGCAGTTTCTTAATGTCATATGATGATGAGCATTTTTCCATATGTACAACACAGAGTGAATTCTAATGTAAAGTATAGACTTTAGTTAATAATAATGTATCAATATTGACTTATCAATTGTACAAATGTACTACAGGAATGCAAGACGTGAATAGGAAAAATGATTTGCAGGGGGAGGAGCATATGGGAACTCTCTGTACTTTCTGCAGAATTTTTCTGTAAAACTAAAACTGCTTTAAAAAATAAGGTCTATTAAAAAATGCAAAACAAGCAAAGAAACAAAAATGCATTTGAGCCACAATGTCTCTTCATTTGTTGCTTTGCTACTACCAGACAGTCTACATTCATTAACAATTGTTGTTAGTTGTCATCAAGTCAGCTTCAACACACTAAGAGGTTATGACCACAGGTTTTGTTATTATTCACTTATCATTCACCTGAAGCATCTATAAGAAGAGGCAAGGAAAATAATTAAGCAAGGTAATAGAATTTCTTTAGAGAGAGTTGGTGGTAGGCTGTGCTTTCCTTCCCTGTTGTACACACCAGCCTCACACTCTTGGGTGAAAAGAGTTGCTACTTTCCTCATCTTGGCAGAGTGAAGAGAGCTTCACAGAACCACACAGAGCTTTTGTGTCTGGGGATACACAAGGACCAGTATGAGAGCGGGTAGGGAACTGTCCATGGTGCCTTAGTACGGACAGAAGTCTTGCTGGTAACAGCTTCCTGGCTGGTTGATCAGATGTGGGTGGGCCAGATGCGTCGCCATTTGACGGGGCTGGATTTGGACCATCATGGCAAGGTTGCTGCCTATGGCCTCACAGGTCACACAACCTAGCAACTCTTCTTGAAAAAGACACTGACCACCAGAAGCCTGGGACAGAAGAGGGAGCCCCATAGACATCTGTAAGAAGGGTAGCTCTGATACAGAATATTGATGATAAAGGTACCCACTGGGGAGACAGCTTTAAAACTAACAAAAAATTCTTTAGGGTTGGAGGGTAGTGGTAGGGAACAAGCAAGAAGTATGATCTCTGCCACACTTAGATTACAACCACACCACTAAGGTAGGGCTTTTGTCCTTTTCCATTAATCTGTTTATCATCCCCCTCCCTGAGTCAGACCTCGAGACTCCTGCAAGAGGCAAAGGAGAAAAAGGAAGGAAGAAAGATAACAGCATTCTCCTCCCCTCCTTTCTCCACTGTAAACGTCTAGGCTCATCAAGCCTGACTTGGAGGAAGAGGAAAGGAGCCAGTAATCAAGTGAGACAATAAAGTCTTTATTTGGATCAGATGATTTTAATATTTTTATTTTTCAAATAAAATTTTATTGTGTTTTTGTCAAAAGTTTACGTAGTAAATTAGTTTCCCATTTGACAATTTTTATGTAAATGGTTCAATGACATTAGTTACATTTCTCACAGTGTGTCAATATTTTCTTTTATTGTGTTCTGGTTGTTCCATTTCCAGTACTCTAGTTTCCCTGCCCTCTTATCTTCTCATCTTTGCTTTAGAGTAAATGTTGATCTTTTGGTCTCATATGGATGGTTTTTAGTAGAGCACCATACTTACGGGTAATATCCTTTAT